TCCATTTATGGGAAAAATGTCTTGTTCTAAGTGAAACTTGGACTTTTTTTCACAATATCAAGGAGTTGTTATATGCATCATTTTACTGAGTAGTTCTGTGTTTTTCAAATATGCAAAGGCATTTGCACTAGACATACTTTTGGGTTTTTGCAGTGCATCATCACTCTCCTGAAGCTTTTGGTTTCATTTTCAGCATTAGAAATTAATAAAACTGTTCTTCACTAGAAGTCTGAGCACAACTGAAAAGGAAAAGTTGTAAAAATAGTAACGAAACATTTTTTTAGGCCGTTGTGCTTTTGCTCAAAGTTTGTGTCTGAACTTGACCTTCTACTTATTCTGTGATGCCACTTCCAGTCCATAACTGAGAATTCCTCCTCCTGCACTGCAGCACAAATAGTTTGTGACAGTGCGACAGCTGCCTCCTACAGTGTCTCCTCAACAGCAGGTGCAGCGACTTTAAACTCTCCTTTCCTTCGGCAGATGCGGAAATTGTCCCAAAAAAAAAAAAACTCGCAAGAAACAAAGAGAGAAATGCTAAACTGAAGAGGCCCATCTTTTCTTTGGCCTGTTTGCCTGTTAAGCCGGTCCAGTCACATGTCAGGATGCATTTCCCCCAGCCTGGCTGCAGACCCCAGGTATTAACAGAGCTGGTTAGCTGGGATCAATACCTACACAATGTTGCAGTGACAGGGAGGGGGCCTTCCTAGTGTTCGCCAGAGATTTTAAACATGTGGAGCAAAGCGGCTTAGAGGGTCGTCTTCATTATCAAATTCGATCAGTTGCCTCTCTGTGTCTCCCGATGATCACCTTTAACAAGTGGAGCTTAGGGGGGCGCAGGGTCCTGAAATGACCCCATGCTAGCAGATGAAGAGCCAAAGAAGGAAAACACTTCTTCTCGAGTGCAGGACTGATTCAGTGTTTCCCAACCTTGATCCTCAAGGCACACTGTCCTTCATGCTTTAGGGATTTCCCTGCTTTAATGTGCCTGATTCAACTGATTGCAGTTCAACAAACGCTGTTTATCAGTCATCAATTGAAATCAGCGGGACGGAAGCAAGGGAACACCTAAAACATGCAGGCCAGTGTCCATTGACCCCAGGGTTGGGAAACACTGACACTTTGCAACTGCGTCACTTAATCATTTGAGGCGCCATGATGGACGTAGGAGGTGAGAGACAGAGCTACTGAAATTGTTTTCCAAAGTTGTTTTTTCCAGTTTACAAATGGCTTTTACTGACTCCAGTCAAGCTAATTTGTCTGTGAACGTCACACAGCTGGTTGGGGCTCGTAGTCGGCGGTATTTACAGGAGTTGGAAACGGTTAGCTTAGAAAGCTACACGTACCTCCTGACGTGTTGAACAAATTACCGAGTTTACCTGAATTCACATGATTAATGTCGCCACCTCATAAACAGCGCTTCCTGTTTAAAAACAGGACAACAAACAAAGGACGTTTTTAATCGTCTTTTCTACGATTAAAAACGTAGCCAGTTTTTTCATACATGCTAGGCTACATGACAGCGCGGCGTTGTTGTCTCCATGGTTACCAACCGTTAGACGCCTGCCTATATCTTTCTAATCCTGCTAACTTAAAAAGTATATGAGCATTAATCTTCCTGCCTTGTAAAAAGTGTTGGCTGCAATCCGCGGTTACACCGAGGGCCGACGGTTATTAGGATTGACGGCTGCTGTCCATCGCCGCCATCTTTCCTCATTAAAAGTTATAAAATAAAATAAAAAATGACTCGGGAGTTCTAAAACAAAATGACGCGTTTGGTTTGCGGCCTTATCTGTTTGTGCAGCACCCTGTGAGCATTTTAAAGTGGAATCGACTAAACAGACCCGATATTAGGTTACAGATGTCTGTTCTGGATTCAGTAAAGTCACTGATTATGTAAACATGCTAAGTATGTTGTACTTTTCTTATTCACTAAAAAAACCCCTCACAAAAAATGTATCTTTTTTCTCATATTTTTCATCCATGATGGTCACCATTTTTCACCTGCTGGGTTCATGATGACGCAGTTTGGAAATAACACAGAAAGGCTAACTTTACCTCAGTTGTTATCATATCAGAAATTTTCTAGAAAAGATGTGGAATCAAAAGAATGAAAACCAAAAAAATGAAATGAAAAGGATATTTCTAGTCTAGAAAAGTCTTTTTATTTCTCTGTATTCACACCTGCACCCCAGCATATTGGGGGCTCTTGACCCCTGGGTCGCCCACTGCTGTCTGACCTTCCCAGTCCATCTTTAATCCCTCGTTCTCTCTTCCAATTAAGAGTCTAATCTTTACTGGTATTGATCCACTGGTGTTGCCGAAAAAGAGATCATAGGAGGATAATTGGTCGGTAAGGAGTTAAAACTGCCTCCTCCAGATTTAAATCCAGCTAATTGATTGGAAGTTTAAAACTTTTTCCTTTTGGTGTCATAGCTGCTCCATCCGAACCAGAGTCGCCCTCTTTGTGTAATTTTGAGCTTTGTTGTGTTTGCAGTCGGGTCATTCTAAGCCCAGAGAGTGTCAAGGCTTCACAGCGTGATCCAAGTCCAACTGCTGCCGCCATCCCCCGTCTCCCTCAGGTCAAAGGCCAGCGGTTCCCATCGATCCCCCTAAAGATCCGCTGTCTGTTCGTCCACATCCGCGTGTAGAAAAAAAAAAGAGAAAAAAAACCTCCCAATTGTCCTGTGCGTGCCGATCGATCCAGTCGGTGTCCGAGAGGGAATTCCCTTTGAGATAACTGACAACTACAAAGGTCCTGTTCTGACAGGCTCTTGTCAATACAAATTTCCACTATTGATAAGTAATTTAGGAATGACTGGTGAGCTTTATAAAACATCTGTTAAACAGGAGAGTTGAACAATAGTTACAAAAAAGAGGGAGAAAGAGAAGAAAGGAAGAAGATTTACTGATTCTCTGCCCTCATTTAGTCCAGCTGGCTCCACATTTCCCTCAGTAAATGGGGGGGGGGATGAAAAAGGAGAAAAATGGGGCATTAAAATGAAACATTTTAATAGGAAATTAATAAGGAAATACAGCAAAATGTCATGAACAAAAACGTCTAATTTACACCCAAAGTGGATTTTTCTTTTAGGTGATGCTGAAACTGATAAATGTTGTGCAGAGATGGAATGACATTACACAATTAATCCTTAGGTATTAATTGCTTATGTATAAAATGTAAGTTCTAAAAACAAGCTCCTAATTTAAAGCGTTTCTGCTTTCCATTACTCTAAATGACAAGAAACAAAAAGGCCTCAATATTTAGTGTGAAGTTGGGCAGATCAATCGAAAATATCAATATTTTGCCTGATAGTTATTGGTATCAGATCAATACTAGTGTGGTTAAACTGATGATTCAGATTCCATCTCGACAGGAATGAAGAGAACACTGCACACACTAGGGGTCATGGTGGCGGTAGTATAATGCTAAGGGGGTATTCCACAGCTAGCAAAAATGGTGCACAACAGGAGGGTAATGAATAGGACTACAGAAAACCTTTTTCAGTTTCAAAATAATATTTCTCTTTGATTTTCTTCAGTTTGAAGCTTTTCCTTTTAATTTCCAATAATTTTTCCAGTTTAAAAATAAATTTTTTCAAAATAATTTTCAGTTTGACATTTTTTATTTTTATTAAGATAATTTTTCAATGTCAAATTTTTTTTCAGTTTCAAGTCTTTTCTTATTCAGTTTTCTCTTTTTTTTTTTCTTCTTTTTTCTTTTTTATAAACCTTAAGCCCAAATGTAGCTCCATAAACATCCAGGTATTGAAACGTTCAGAATATGCTTTTTTTTTTTTTCTTTTTACATCAAACTCTATTAAAATTGGAGCTTTAGCAGCTCTTTAGTGAGACTTGTAATCAACTTAAACTCGACGTTTCTCATCCCTGTGAAAGAGCAGAACCGTTGTTTCCTTACATTGGGCTGAGCAGTAATTCCCTCTGCTATGCGACAACAGTCACTAAACCTGCATAACACCTGCTCAGCGGTGAGACCGTTGTCAGCGCTGTGACTCGGCCTTTTGTCTTTTGTTCACTGTAATCCCTGCATGTGTAAGTGGATCCTCCAAGAAAAGGATAACCACATTTAAGCAGTTTCAGACACTACAGCAGGAGCACAAATCCACCAACTTCTCCTTTCGAATTCAGTTGATAAGTATTAAAACTTACTGACCTGGTGGATTCACAAACAGTGCTGCACAAAATGAGCAGTTACCAGAAAATATTCATATTTGTTGCTATAAATAATAAGTTTACTCTTTATTGTATTACTGTTATTTCATTGGTAAATTATGATCTGTAAACTTCCTAAGTACTAAAATAAATATATATGATTTAATAATGCAAGACAGTTGGAGCTTCTTGCTTTGAATTCAGGTAAAGATGAGCAGAGTGGAGTAGTAACTAGTTATTTACTCAAATTACATTTACTTGAGTAACTTTTTTGAAACAGTTTGCTATTAGGAGTATTTTTATTATGTTGTACTTTTTACTTGAATAATTTTACTGTGAACTATCTCTACTGTTATTTCAGGAAAAATTCTGAATTTTCTACAAACTGAATGAAAAACAAACACGTTTTAACCAAAATTTCACCACATACAGACACATACCTGCAGTTTTTGTTAGTTTTATACATTTTTTATTGAAAGAAACTAATTTTGGAAAATTATCTTTTTGCCTGATTTTATTATTTTGACCTTAAATCACCAAAATTTCTAATTCCTCATATTTTGGTCTGTCTGATTCTGTAATTTTTAAATGTTAAATGATCAATAATTTGATCAATTATTCAGTATTTGAGTAGATCTTTCACCAAATACTTTTTACTCCTACTTAAACGGTTACTTTTTACTTTGAAGTAAGATAAATCCAAGAAATTGAGACTCAAGTAAGAGTGAAAAACTATTTGGTTAAAGGTCTGCTCAAGTACTGAGTAACAGTTCAAATGATCAATTATTTAATATTTAAAAATTACATCACCAGGTGGACCAAAATATAAAATGAAGTGGAAAATTTTGTAGGACCAAAAACACAAAAAATAACAATCAGGCAAAATAAAATTTTTACAAATCAGCTTTTTCAATAAAGCATTTATGAAACTTCAATAAAATCAGCAGTTGTGTGTCTGGTGAATTTTTGGTTAAAACATGTTTTTCATCCAGTGGGCAGAAAATGCAGAAATGTTAATCAACTAAGAGTAGAAATATTCAAGTACTGTCAAGTACAGCGTAGTAAAAATACTCCTAATAGTGTTTTTTTTTGTGTGTTTTTTTTCCAGAAACATTCCTCAAGTAAATGTAATTAAGTAAATTTAACTAGTTACCCCCCCACTCTGGAAAAATATGTCACAGTGGTTCTACTCTTGAGTTTTTATCTACTCTCCACCTCAGAAGACGAGACATTTTTAGAGTAAAGGTGGAGGGGGAACCTGGTGGAGAGGAACCTGGAGGAGGGGACCCTGGAGGAGGGGAACCTGGAGGAGGGGAACCTGGAGGAGGAGAACCTGGAGGAGAGGAACTTGGAGGAGAGGAACTTGGAGGAGAGGAACTTGGAGGAGAGGAACCTGGAGGAGGGGACCCTGGAGGAGGGGAACCTGGAGGAGGGGAACCTGGAGGAGGAGAACCTGGAGGAGAGGAACTTGGAGGAGAGGAACTTGGAGGAGAGGAACCTGGAGGAGGGGACCCTGGAGGAGGGGACCTTGGAGGAGAGGAACTTGGAGGAGAGGAACCTGGAGGAGGGGAACCTGGAGGAGGGGAACCTGGAGGAGAGGAACCTGGAGGAGGGGACCCTGGAGGAGGGGAACCTGGAGGAGAGGAACTTGGAGGAGAGGAACCTGGAGGAGAGGAACCTGGAGGAGGGGACCCTGGAGGAGGGGAACCTGGAGGAGAGGAACCTGGAGGAGGGGACCCTGGAGGAGGGGAACCTGGAGGAGAGGAACCTGGAGGAGAGGAACCTGGAGGAGAGGACCCTGGAGGAGGGGACCTTGGAGGAGAGGAAGTTGGAGGAGAGGAACCTGGAGGAGGGGAACCTGGAGGAGGGGAACCTGGAGGAGGGGAGCCTGGAGGAGGAGAACCTGGAGGAGGGGAACCTGGAGGAGAGGAACCTGGAGGAGAGGAACCGATCCGAGGATAGGAGAGCCATTCGGCAGTGGCAGCTCGGGGACAGGGAGGGTCACACACAAGCACACTCTTTGTGCGCCTCTAATCCCCCCAGCCAACACAGCTTTGGCCAGGTTTCATCATGAAAGTGCCATGAAATAACTACTTTTTTTCTCTCCTCAGAGTAAATCTCCCCTAATCCTGGGGGCCGTGGAGACAAAGGCCCCGGGGACCTAATCCTGGAGCTTTTAGCGGGGCGGAGGGGCCGGCCGGCCGAGCCTCTTCTAAATGACTTATTTCTATCGGACACTAATACAGCTTGACAGCCGGGAACGGTGAAAGGACGAGGAAAAGGGCTGGGGGGAGGAAACGGCACCAAACATTTTCACATATCTTGGGCTGAGTGGTTGTAATGGCAGAGCTGAGCCGGCCCACAGCTTCATCTGGGAATAAAACCATGAGATTTCCTCTGAGGGTCCGGCTGCACAGACGTACCTGTTGCATTTGATACCAACGCTCACTGAAGTACCTCAGTAGTATTAATATTTTACATATAGCAGCGCTCACCTTGTTCAATCAAAGGGTTAAAGGTCAATTCTGACTGGCTGTTTGGTGGCTTAATCCTTTAGTTTTTCAAATTAAAGCTACAGTATATAACGTTTATAATAAATATAAATTTTTGCATATATCCTACTTTATGGTCTTATGGTTTGAGACAGATTATATGTAAAAAAAATTCAAGATCCTGTGTCTTTTCCCTGCTAACCAGAAACAACCAATCAAAAGTAGGAGGCAGGTCTTAGCGCTGTCAATCACCACTCCATGCTGCAGAGAGCTGCACAGCCTGTCATGGATGCTCAGGCTAGTTAGCATAGCATTTTCCTGTTGTTTCTCCACCATTAACGCATTTACCAAAGAGTACATGCTGATGATTGACAGCACCAAGACCCTCCTCCTGTCTCTGATTGGTTGTTAGTGGTTGGGAGTGTTGCATTTCTTCCCACAGTAAGAGTATCTCAGGAAGGAGGCAGAGGAGGCTGGTCATTTCACAGATTATTTGTCTCATAACAAACTGTCATGACACGGTGAGAGTTTTAACAAAAATGTAAATATAGTTTTTTTATTAAAAGGTTACATACGGTATCCTTAAAACAAGCAATTTATAAAGATAGAATTATTATTATAGTAAAGTTGTTATTGGCCTCAGTGGAACAGTACATGACTGGTTCAAGTCTTATTTAAAGAACAGACTTCTTTTTTTTTGTTAATAGAGCTCTTTATTGGCATCACCTTTCAGAAAGTCTCACCTCTCCGTAAGAATATTGTTAAAGGGTTAATAGAGGAGCCATGTTGTGACGACTTCCTGAAAGTGGGTTGGAAAGATGGGATCTTCTTAAAGAGACAGAGACCCAATTTCAAGGCGTTAAATTACAAGTAAAATTACTTTTGATGTATAGCATTTTTATAACATCTGGAGTTAATAGTAATAACAATAGTCTTTTGTATTTTTTTAGGTACATCATGGAATTTCTGTCCACTTTGTTGAATTGCTGACATTCAGTCAGAAATGAAGTCTTTCTACAGATTCTCATTGTTGTTTAGGTCTGGACTTTGACTGAGCCATTCTAAGACGTAAATATGATTCGATCTAAACCAGTCATCCTGCTGGAAGGTTACACCTCTAGTTTTTCACGTGTTAAGCTAATGGGCGTCTTGCTGACAGATCCCTGCAGAGTCTCTTTGGTTAAAGCAGCCATGTCCTGGTGGGTTTCTGTTAACGCACTCTCTTTCCATTTTCACAGGATAGTGAAAGATTGTTTGACAACTTAACTCACCTTTAAATGTCTCCATAGGTTTCCCTGATCTTCCTGATGTGTTCTTTGGTCTTGAGGATGCTGTTTGCTCATAAATACTCTCTAAACCCCCCTGAGCCCTTCACAGAACAGCTGTATTCATACTCAGATTAAATTACAAGGAGGTGGACTTCATTGGGTTAAGAGGCCTTTTTAATTCAACTGATTGCATTGAATATTAATTAAAGTTAAAAGGGGAAAACAAAAACAGTCCGTACTTTCAGATTTTTACTTATAACAAAATTAGAGGAAAAGTGAAAGAAATTGCTTAAATTTCTTTAAGCAATTACATTAAGAAAACAGCTTGGGTTTTATTACCAGTTCATTTTCCATACTCAGATTTAAGTTTTAGCAAATATTCTGATATAAATTTTGTAAATATTCTGATAAAATGTTGCAGAAAGACTTAAGCTTGGGGTTAAAATGTCGATTATACACACCATTGCAGCATATAACTAGTGCCATGTTGAAAAATTAGTTACTTTTATGCTACAGATCAAGTTTTTGTCAGATACGAAACTTTTTTATGCTACAAACAATTTTGTGTGCAAGTCAAAAAGTTTGAATTTTCTATGTATTTTGATCAAATGTTGCAGGAAATATTGTGTTTGGGGTTTGCGTGCATTACAACTGCAGCTGTAGACGATTTTAGAAAGAAGTGCTACATCGGAAAATGTTAATATGCATTTTACTTTCTGAATAATTCATTCTACAAATAAAATATTCTGACACAACTGAAATCCCTCCAAATTAACATGAATATGCACAAAGAAAAACTATGATTCTTTCGATTTCTTGTATAATCTGGAGTGTTTCCTGCAGGATTTTGAGGAATTGCTCTCTTTGGCTCAGATTAACTTCTCATTGTGACAGTTCATCAGGAAGAAATGGTGGCTGTTAGCAAAACAAACCCCCCATCAGGGAGGCGCAGTGGCTGGGGGGCTGTCAGCAGCAGCGCTATGGGAGAATGGAGAGGACAATCAAAGGCTGTTATTTTAATCTGTCCTGCCTCGGAGATTAGCCCTCCACATTGTCTCAATTGTTTTAACTGGGGAGGGAATGAAACGCTCCCTTATTGGGCAATCCTTGGCATAAATCTCTCAAGTTCAATAGTTTCAAAAAACTTGAGCTCCCAGCTGCCCCCCTATCTCCCCTCATCCCACCTAATCCCAGCTAATACCTTCCTTTCCATTGGCTAATGGCTGAGGGGAGCCTGGGTGAAGAAGTCTTAAATAGTCCGGGGTGAGAATGGTTTCAGGGAGGGAGATTCATGAAGCTGCAGGAAAAGGAGCTGCTGCTGCCTGAGGATTTATTTGGGCCTGAATTGGACAGGAGGCTGACTTCTGACTGGAGGAACTCGGCTGATCTGAACGCAGCCTGGATCTCAGGTAATCTGCTGCTGAATGGTGGGACAGTAATCCAGCTAAATCTGATGTAATCATCATTGAAATCACATTTTTTCACATTTATATTATGTTTATTTATTCATAGATAGTACATTTCATTACCCTTTTAAGAGGAGAGATGCATGAGACCAGGTTATGGCAACATATGCTAATTTCTACAGATTGATGTCATCAAGTGTGATTTAATAGTTTATGACTTGAAGAAAAGTGAAAATGAGTTTGGAAAAATGTTTGAACAAGTTAAACCTTTCTAAAAACTACTATTACTGCTACGATAATGATAGTAATAATGATGCTGCAGCTACATATTTTGTTTTTGAAAGACCAGTAGGGCTTGTTGTTAACATGTGTTTAACCTATTTATCATATTTGATCAGTTTTATGTATTACACATCATAAGCATTTTTATCATCAGTTCAAATATCTTATTAATACCAACATAATTAATGCATGACTCATCAAACATAACATATTTTTATATGTCTTTATCCATTACAATATTGCACATACAAATATTAAGATGACATGTTATTTCATACTTTCAGTAGATCTAACATATATAAACATACACTGTGAGAGCAAGTTATTATTCTTGGTTTTATCATAAATCTTTGTGGTCCTCTGTGTTTATTTGTTATGTTTCTGCCATTAATTACTCATTTACTCACTAACATCTGTTGAAATGAGAAAAATGTCAAAGAAATCCAGCAAAATGATCCAGATTTCACATTCTTGCCAAATTCTTAAAATATTTAAGTATTTTAATAATTGTTATGTGCTTCACTTGTAAAAATAAAGTTACAGAGTAACTTCCTGTGTTGATGTGGAGTCGCGATGAACTCGCTGAGTTTCTACGGAACCGCGGCCAGCGGCGTGTATCCCGTCCACGGAGTGAACTCGGTGCTGTTCGACCTCCGCCACCAGGTGGCGCAGCAGTACCAGGCTTACCCCGCTGCTGCGGCGCCCACGGCGCACACCTTCTCTGTGGCGGAGAGGCTCGCAGGTGGGTCATCAGGTCCGAAATGAACCAACATTCAGGAAAAAGTTCACTGAAGGTTTCAGATCCTCATCACTGATACATATACAGAAAAAAAACAAACAGATTTTAAATGTTAATCCTGTTGAGACTTCTGTTAAAATGAGGATTCAGCCTAAATTGAGTATTATTAATAACAGCTGATCTAAAGTAGCAAAGAAGAGAAAATTACTATAAAGATATGGATGTAAGTTGAATTGCCAAAAGTAAGAGAAGCACTACTTTAACTTATTTTTATAGAAGTTAAAATAAAAAGTAACCATCCAAGAAATTACTGAATAGTAATGAGTAAGTGATTAAAACATAATTTAATATGCATCATCAGGTTATGTGGAAATGCAGGTATTTTAAAGATAAAAATAAGTTACAAAATTAAACATTTTCCCAAATATTTCAATATAAACTTACAGAAGTTTGAAAAAAATCTCCAGGTGTGTCTGGTGATAATTTAGGTTAGAAATGTTCGCCATTCAGTGAAGTTGTTCACAGTAAATAGAGTATCCAGAAATGTTATAGCAATACTTTATGACAGTGAAAGTAAAAAGTAGAGATCCAAGATATGAGTGAAATAAAGAGTACAAGAATTGGGTGAAAAGGCTACTCTACTGATCAAAACATCGATCATCTAATATTTAACATCACTTCATTAGACAGACCAAAATATAAAGTTATCTGAAAATGTTGGCAGAGTAAAGATCAAAATGGCAATAATTCATAAACAAAGTCATGCAACACAAAAAAAATATAAAAAAAATTTCAAAATCAGGTTATTCATATCAAAACTTCAGGTATGTGTTTGTCTGATGATGTTTTGGTCAAAACAAACTTTTATTTACTCAGTGAAGTTACTCACAGAGATTTTACTCAACAGCAGCGATACTTTATGATAAAGTGACTTAAATGAAGATCTCATGTAATAAAAAAGCCACTCGAGTTGCAAAAGTAGCTGAACTCATGAGGCCCGTTTGTGTTTCGTCCTGACAGAGCTGATCCTGGAGGCTCGCTATGGCAGCCAGCAGAAGCAGCGACGCAGCCGCACCGCATTCACAGTGCCGCAGCTGCAGGCTCTGGAGGAGGCCTTCCAGCAGACGCAGTACCCGGACGTCAGCATGAGGGAGAGGCTGGCCATGTGCATCAACCTTCCTGAGGCGCGCATTCAGGTGGCACCGCCCTTAACGTGACTCATGAGTTTTCAGTTGAACTCTCTGGGTCAAATCAGTTCTCAAAGCTTTCTGGAAATCCTTCTGTTTTATGTTTAACACCTGAAAAATATAAGAATGTTTTGATTTAGATGTTTGAGTTCTTAACTCTGACTTATGAATCATTCAGATATAAAAGTCTGACATACTCAAAATGAAAATCAGATAGGTAGATATTATTAAACAGTCCATGCTTAACATGTCTTTCATATTTGATATGAACTTAACTTAAACAAAAATCAGTCAAAGGAATAAATGTTAATACTTTATAATTTCTTAAAATATCCCAAACCTTTTGTGGAACTTAAAACAGAGTTATATATATCTGTTTGGCAGAGTTTCAGATATTTAAAACAAAACAAAAAAATAGTCAAAGTGATCAATATTGACTGATATGAAGAACTTTTTGTGATATTTTTTTCAGCCACATCGTCCAGACCCAAAACTGAATTGGACTGCTGACGTTTTAATCACTAATTCTGCGCTCAGTGTAACGATTCTCTGTCTCTGCTGGTTTTTTGTGCAGGTGTGGTTCAAAAACAGGAGGGCAAAGTACCGTAAAGGCCAGAGAAGCTCCTCTCTTCTACGGGATCCCTGTCAGGTCGAAACTCTGCAGAGCAGCAAAAAGTCTCCGGAGGAAGTGAAGACAGAAGACCAACAGGACGTCACTGCATCACACGCTGAAAGCCAAGCCTCTTCGCATTTCTGTCCTCCGTTCTCTGTGGATGAAAACCAGGATGCTAACTCTGACGTGTCACGGTTTGCTCCTTCGCTGCCATCGGCGCCGCTTCTCTCCTTCTCGGCTGTAGAACGTTTCTGTCGCCCGCCTCAGCAGCCACTTCTGCCCGCTGAGTTTCCACTTCCTCCGTTGTTCTGGCCACTCATACAGCAGCACTTCTGCACCTCAGGGAATCCTTCACCTGCTACCAAAAATGGCAGCTTCTCTCTCCAGACTAATTGCTCCACTAAAGTGTTGGGCCACCTTGACCTGTAGCATTCAAACCCTCTGAACTCCTCTTGAATTTGATCCATTTCACCTTGAGATTACATCCAATCTTCAGTCAGATTGGATGAACATCTGTGAATATAATCTTTTATGTCTTGCAACAGATTCTCATTTGGATTTAAGTCTGGACTTTGATTAGAACAGGGACCAAACTCCCCAAGCTGAAAATTTTATTTTATTTTACTTCCACAATTAAAACCGCAAAAATAATCCTTTCTCTTTTACATGCACAACAATAAATAAAACATGTAATATTTTACATTCGCCTCAATGTTTGCAATTATTTAAAATATTGGACATACTACTTTCCATTTTTTAAGACAATAAAATGTTTTTAGTTTACTCCCAGAGACGAAAGTAAGAATTTTCCTGTATTTAGGCTAATGGAATGGAATAGGTGTGCCAAAGTCTGACTTTGAATAAAAACATGCTGGAGATAATAATAATATTGTCAACGCAACAAAAATTCTTTGTTGTTCTTAATATTTTCGGTCTAAGAAGATATAAACTTGGCGCAGAAAATCTTATCCTAAAAAACTTTTTAAAAAAAGTTTTGGTAGCCATATTTGTGCTTGTCTTGAACTGCAGTAAGGGGCCACACAAAATTAATCCTTGGGCCACAAATGGCCCACGGACCACACTTTGGACACCCCTGGACCAGACCATTGCAACAAATGCATGGACTGTGACTTGAATGATTTTTACTCTGGTTGTATTTTTAGACCAGCTGTCTGTAACCTGAGTCTCCAGAGACACAAGTAGCTATTTGGCTCTTTGCTAACTGAAGTGTTTAAATATAAATACAAGTACAACTGCAGGTTTTAGCATATTTTTATGAAATTATTTTATTGAATTTCCACAATAGAATGGTACTAAAAGTACCAGAAATGTATTTTTCTTGTGATCAGATTAGAAACCATTTGATTTTTTGTTTTGTTTTTTATATTCAGTTTTTGTTTTCACACAGGAAAGCACTTTGAACTGCTTTCATGTTGAAATGTGCTATAAAAATAAACTTAACTGACTTATTTTCCTCAAATACCAATTGTATCCATACTCATTCAAAACTTTTGTTTTCTCTGTTTAAAATCTAAAAAAAGAAGCCATCCAAAAATTTTAAATTTCCAAAGTCAAAAATCAGAAGTATTGTTTTTTTTAAAGATGATGTATGACTCTAGTAAAATGTATTTAGCTGGTTTGAAGCCAGAATGTCTCTTTGGATTGTAATGGTTGCAGATCTCTATTGATTTCATTTCGGGGTGTCAGAGTGAAAAGCTAGCTTGGTGTCACTTCTCTTCCACTTATCTTTGAGGGAGTAAAGATTAAATTTTTTCATTTTTTTTTTTTTTTACGAATTTTACTCTGTGCTTTTGTCTAATGGTAGAAGTCAAGATAAACTTGATGGAATTTATTTTTACTTACACATATTAACTCGGGACTCTTGTTTTCTGTTTATTTTAGCCAACAGCTAGAAATATTTCAGCGGTGTAATACGGTTTCCAATGTAGATGTGAAAATGTTTTAGAAAGGCTTACTTTTAAGTGACTCAGTGCTGCAAGCATGAAGGCGTAAAATTAAACAAATCCGCCTCATTTTTGTTTTTTTAATCTTTGTGAGTTTTAGCAGTACTGATAGTAAAACTGGTTTCGGCATGCTAAGAAAACCTCTGCAGTTTGTTTTGACAAACTCAACTAACAGCTGCCCTGTGAGAAAATCTATTTCTGAAAAATATTACTTTATAATGTAAGATTAGCCTGATCATTGTCACAATAATAATGCAAGATAATGTCATAAATTATCAAGATATGCCAGGATTTCTTATTTTGGTGAATGAGAAACAGAGTTCATTAAAAAAATAAAAAATGTAAATAATGAAAATATGCATGCATGTTTAAAAACAACAAGATGGAAAAAATGATTCAAGGGACGAACAAACTTATTGTTTAGATTAAAACACTAAAAACACATTTTCTGCTCCATATTTCTTTCATATAAAAGTGTGAAATGTGCATAAAAAATTACTTGTTAAGTATTTGTCTAAATATACACCATTTA